AGATAAGAGTCTCACTAAGTTACCGAGGCTGGGCTTGAACTTGGAACTGTTCTCCTGCCTCAGCTTTCTGCAATGGTGGGATTACAGGTGTATACCACTGTGCCCAATCTGTATTAGTTACCTTAAGAGACCACCTCGCAAATATTACTGATTTAAAAAACCTATCTGCCTCATTCAGTAAAATTCCTCATGTGTCTTTTCATTATGTATTGCAGTAGACCAATATAGTTATTAATAGTTGGTGTATACTACAACGTAATTCTTTCAACCTGGAGCCTGCTGTTAGACATGTCTCTGGGTCTGTATTAATTTTTTTTTTTTTTGAGACAGGGTCTCACTACATAACTCAGGCTGGCCTTGAACTCACTATGTAGCCCAGGTTGACTTTGAACTCATGTCAATCCTCCTGCCTCAGGTTCCCATGTTCTGGGATTACCAGCATAAGCCACCACACCTGCTGACAAATCAGACATTTACTTGAACTTGCAGTATATATAACCATGTGAAATTTGTAATTGGGGTGATGCAGAAACGAGTACAGTACTTAGTTGTTATTTTTAAATGCTAACAGTCCAGCAAGAGGCATAAGCTATGAATAAGAATAAGTTAGTGTATAATAAGACCACTAAAGAGAATGCCTTGGGAATTCACGTTATTGGCTATATTTTGTATTGGCCATCTCTATAAGGTATGGACAAGTATGACTGAGCCAGTGGAATTTGTGTGGTGGTGAGTGGAATTCTGTAAGCTTTTGACTTCTGCTTTTTTTAAAAAGTGAGATTAATGGATTAACTTGGTTTAGCAGTTGTCTAGACAATATTATAGCTGTGACAAAATAAACTTGCTGTTTAACACATATTTGTGCATACACGTGTACTACACATGTATATTTTTAAGTTATTTTGTGACCAGTGTTATAATTATGGAGATATTTGAAACAACATCAAAATCATAAATAAAAAATAACAATAACAGGATTCTATAACAAAATAAATTACCAGACCTTTTGAATGTATTGATGTCATGTGACCTAACTCTTTGTAAGTTATATAATCATATTATATTCTCTTTTTAATCTTAATTTTCTAATGATAGTACATCTGGAATATTTTCCATGTCTTTAAATACATTTCCCTACTTGCATTTAATGACTACTTTGCATTCTGTTATATGTATGTTCTTAACACAGAACTGGGCCTATAAAATTTCTTCTATGTTGTGTTACCTCCCATTTATTGTCCAGCTTTAGCTGATGAGATGCCATGAAAGAGGTACTAGTTTGAATTTTTTTAAATTGAGTTTATTGGTACTTTTTAGGTATACAATACAGTTACGTTCATCATTGGGATCTTGTACCTTTACATGCAGGTCTTTGTTCTCATTTTTTCTCCATACTCCTTCCCTCCCTTCACCCCCTGCTAGTTCGAATTATGAGGCCTCTTTCAGCCATAGAGGGTGGGAGCAAAGACAAGTGGATCTACTCATGGAAAGACCGACCAAGCACCCAGTCTCAGGTGTGGATTTAGTGTCACTGCAGAAGTGATTATGTACTCTGTGGCTACGTTTGTGTAGCTGGGTTCTTGGTGTTAGAGGACAACTCAGATTCATCTTCTATTTTCCCCTAAATTATATGTGCAGCTGTAGGGGACTAATTTTGGAAGAAGAAAGAGAAAAGCAGAAAGATTTTATTGAGTAAGGTCATATTAGAAACACTAAAACCTTTTTCCTTCTGTCAGTTCTAGATTCTCAGGAGTTTAAATTTTTCCAGTAGTGGACCACTGAGGAGGACTGATCAGATCTTACATTTCTGAAACCATGATCTGTGTAAGTTGATTGTTTTTTGCTGTTTCCTTGAAATATTAAGATTTTAGGTAAGGTAGATTTTTTTTCATTAACCTAAAGCTTCCTACATAAGAAGCCCTCATTCAATTATCTTCTCTATAGTTTCTCCTAATGCAGTGAACAGTGACAGGAAATAACTTTGTTTCCTGAGATATCCACAATAAAATGGGTTTTTACAGTCAGTAACAAATTTATTTGTGAAAGCAAAAGCACTTATGATGTGCTCTGACAGAAATGGTGAGCTAGAAGCTTGTGGAAATATGTAAAAAAATTTTTTTCACCAAAGCTTCTTTTTTTTATGTTTTATTTTTGAAGCTTTTTTAAAATATGGAGATATTTATATTAAATTTGGGAAGGACCCATCCCTCTTTTTTTAACTGTTAGGGAAAATAGCTTAGAAATTAACATTTAGTGGAAATTTCTGCATCATGCCACTAGCATACTAGTTGTTTTGTTTTTTTTGTTTGTTTGTTTTTTGGTACCAGGGATTGAATTGAGGACTTTGCACTTGCCAGGCAGGCGGTGGCACTACTGAGCTAAATCCCTGACTCTGGATGTTTCTAATACTTTATTGAATACAGAAACTTGCATTTTATTTTATCTATTTCTCAGCAAACCTAAACTATTGTTGGCAATCCCTGACCTACAGAAAGGTTTGTCTGCAGTGATAGTATTCTTCAGGAAAAGGTAGACATCCCATTTTAGTCTACTAATGCTCATTAGTCACTTGTACTACTATATCATACCTTTCTTCTCATGTATTTGTTTATTGTCTTTCCTTCTTGAAAATGTTGTAGTACATGTGTTTGTAGTTTCAGGAATTAGTGACATTTGGAGATGTGGCCATCGACTTTTCTCGACAGGAGTGGGAATACCTGGACCTTAGACAGAGGGACTTGTATAGGGATGTGATGCTGGAGAACTACAGGAACCTTGTGTCTCTGGGTAAGTGTATTTGCTGCAAGTAAATTAAAATGTGGTCTGTGATATATTACCTTTCAACACAAGGAATTCCAAGGCTTCTGTTTCTACAGGACAATTTGAGGTCTACCAGTTGACCATGGCTCTGCCATCTAGCACTATCATCTTCCCTATCATTTAGTGATATTCACATATCGCTGACTCTTACAAGTGCCTCCCTTACTTAGTATCCAAGGGTCCTGATTTCAGACCATTGTGCAGGAGTCCTGGTTTCCCGTTGTTTCATTCCAGAAATTCTTGCAGATGTGCTATGTCATACTCTGTTGCACCTCAAGGACAACGGTTAGAGGCATAGTTTTCTCTGACTGTGAGGAGAGACTCTGACTTATTCAGCAGCGGGTGGGATGAACAGTACAGTGGACCCTTGACTTATAAGCTCAATTTGTTCATGAGGGCTGGTTGTATCTCAAGTTAGCTGCAAGTCAAGATTATTTTTCCTGTAAGAAATAATGGAAATATCCGTAAGGTATTCCAAACCTCCCAAAGCACCCCTTAACTAACCTTTTCATAATAAAAAAGGGTTGGGGCAGGATGTTGCTCAGCAGCACTACACCTGCCTGGCAAGCACAAGGTCCTGAGTTCAATGCCCAGTACCAAAATAAAAAAGTGCTGTATAATGTGCATAATTTACCAAAAACACCAATAATTTTCCTCATATATTCACCAAAAAATTATAAAATATGCCTAGTTTACCACAGACAACAATTTCATATTGTACTCACCATTCAAGTTGAGATCTTTGGCTTGCAAGAAGGGAGGATGAAATGGAAGGTGGTTATGGTTTGGAAGGAGAGTCCCCTTCCATAAGGACATCAGGAATCTGGCTCTCTGGTGTCCTTTCTCTCCTTGGTAGAGTCTGTAGACTGCAGGAGCTGCTTCTGGCTCACTAGGTCTCAACCTTTTCAAACTGAATACTGGTCTAAAGTCTGTCCTTTCTTTAACGCTGTTCTGTAGTATGATGTGACACTGTCATTAAGCAAGTGAATGCAACGATTGGTTTTTTTCTCTGTCTAGTGGGTCTTCTCTGCAAATGTTTGTAGCTCTGTCCATTTTTTCAGGATTTCCTTTATTTCAGAAGAACTTTGCTGCAGTGATTATTAATATTCCCCCTCCTCTTCAGAAAGCTGCTCAGCTGCCATTCTCTGCTGCTCAGCCAAAAGTTGCTGAAGTTCCTCTGTTGACAGTTCCTCTAAGCGTTCCTCTGCCACTCCTTTAACATCACCTCGGTCTACCTGCAAGCCTATAGACTCCACTATAGTGACAAGTCATCAACCACAGGGTCAGTGGAAGGCTCAGGCTCCTCTACACAGTCTTCAAAGTCTCTCTCCTGTATAATTCTAAGTCACACTTTCTTCCAGACAGAGTTCGGTGTTCTTATAGAAATGTTGGCCCGGGATTTCTTAACCCCTCACAGGAAAGGATGTTGTAATGTTCCTTCCAGAACACTTTAAGGATTAAATCTGTATCTGAGACCATCTGGAAGCACTTTAGGAACGTTCCATGGTGTATAGCTTCTTAAAGTTAGCTCTGACCTGCTGTTCCATAGGCTGCAGTAGAGGAGTTGTATTCAGTGGAAGGAACTCAACTGAGAGCCGTGGGAATTCTTCAGCCAATTCTGCTTTCAAATTACATGGGTGAGCAGGGGCAATGTCCGTGATTAGAAGAGCCTTGAGTGGTAAAACTTTGTCCTCTAAACATTTCTTCACAGTAGAAAAGAATGCCTTCCTAATCCATTCAATAAAAAGTACTCTTACTACGCAGGCTTTTGCATTAGATCTCCACATGACCCCTCACCTATTCTTCATGACTGTATGTTTTCTGAACACTCTAGGCGTCTCAGAGTGATAAACCAAGAGGGGCTTTATCTTGAGGTCACCACTCGTACTGGCACAAAGCAGTAAGGTTAGCCTAACTTTTGTAGTCTTGTGGCCTGGCATTTTCTTCTCTTCCTGGGTGATGTATGTTCTCCTGGGCATTTTCTTTTAGGAAAGGCCAGTTTCATCACAGATGAAAACCTGATGAGAGAAAAAGCCATTTCTCTGTGTCATCCTTTCCAAGTGGTGTATATAATTTTTCAGTAGTCCTTTAATCAGCACTGGCTGCTTCACCATGCCTAGTTATACCATTAACTCCTGTTCTCCCTTTAAAATTGTGAAACCATCCCTTATTGGCACAAAATGTTTCACCATTATCACTCATTGATGGATTATCCTTTATGAGATCTGCTTTTATCGCCCTAGCTTTTTCACAAATCGACACAGATAGCATATAAACTGCCATCTGCCTTTCATTTATCCATGCTAAGAATAGCCTTTCTACCTCATCTAACACTGTTGATCATGACGTGCTACATGATTTGAGTAACAGATTTAGCAACACTAGTTTCCTTATACAACTCTTTTCTCTGTAAGATTGTTGAGATGGTGGATTTCAACATGCTGTACCTATTAGCAAGATCACTCACACGAATGCCCCTCTCATATTTCTCCACAATTTCCTTCTTTTTTATTGTGATCGCTTTCTTTACCTTCCCTTCCTTCCTTAGCTTCTTTTCCAGCTTTCTGGGGCCCATTTTGATAGCAGTAATCATAGTAATTATATAAAGCTCTGATTGAAATCAGGTCCACAAGCACATGCATCTGGGCTCGCTGATACTTACATATGCTTATGTATGCTGTTCTGGCATTGTGAGTCTTTGTTTATCACTGTGCAAGCAGCTAGCTAGCATTTGGGTTGTAACTCAAGACTTTGCTCATAAGTTAAGACTACAATTCCAGTCATAATCCAAGTTGATCCTATGTGAGGCTGGTTATAACTTGACAGTGCACTGTTATTTAAAGTGAAAGAACCACATTTCATTTCCTGCAGTGAATTTTTATGACTTAGGTTTGAAAGTTTCAATTCATGAACTTTGCATTTAATATGGAATGAAAATGTATAAGCTGATCAGGATACCTCCCTCCCAACCCCCCGGTGCTCAGGATTAAACCCAGAGCCTCTGGCAAGTCCTCTACCTTTGACCTTGTTTTAACTTTTATTTTATTTTATTTGGTACTGGGGATCAAACTCAGGACCTTTCATTTGCCAGGCAGGTGACGGCACCACTGAGCTAAATCTCCAGCCCTTAACTTTTATTTTGAGTCAAGGTCTTGATACGCTTTCCAGGATGGCCTCAAACTTGGAATACTCCTGCCTCAGCCTCCCCATACCTGAGATCACAGGTGTGTACCACTTCACCTAACAGAATGCTTCTTGTTATGCTCTTATGTAAATAATATTTTATGTCCCAGGCACTCTTCTGGAAAAAAAAATAGAGGTAATCATCAAATAACTGTATTATAGTAATGTAATATAGCCAGATTAATCGCCAATACTGTGGAATAGTGAGCTGAAGTGACATGACCAAAGTCCTAAGATTGGTAAATTTAAGAGAAAAATTTGTGCCCCAGCTGTCTGACTCTAGAGACTTTTACATTAAACTTTCTCTTCAGAAACATCCTGGCTGCTAGTGGTAGCACATGCTTATAGTCCCAGTTACTCAGGAAGCTGAAGATCATTTGAATCTAGAAGTTTGGGTCCAGCCTGAACAATACCATGAGAATTTATCTTAAAAAAAAAAAAAAAAAAAAAAAGACTTTAAAATAAGGTTCTACCATACCCGACTTATTTCTTAAATTATTTCACCCTCTGTGAATGTGGGGTGGAGGGCATTGGAGATCACACCTGGGGACAACTATAACCACTGAACTACATCCCCAACTCCTTTTAAACATTTTTTGTTTGGAAGCTGGGGGTAGTGATGCATGCCCATAATCCAAGAACTTGGGAGAAAGAGGAGGAGAACTGCCCCAAATCTGAGGCCAGACCAGGGCTACCTAGAAAGACCCTGTCTCAAAAAGGCTGCACTCAAAATTTTTAAATTTGGAGACAGAATATTAAGTTGCCCAATTGAGACTTGAAATTTTGGTCCTTCTGCCTCACCTTTTTGAATAGCAGAGATGATAGGCCTATGCCATCACTGCTGGTTCTGTCTTTTGTCTGAAGTATTTGTTAGTAACATCTAGCCATTAACTCATTGCAGTTTTTTTCTTTTGTACCAGGAATCAATCTCAGGACCTTGTGCTTGCGCGGCAGGTGGTGGCATCACTGAGCTAAATCCCTGGCCCCTGCTCACTGCAAATTTAACTAAAGCTCAGAGGTTTCTGTGTTTTCATTTTTATGTCATTTCTTTTCTTGACAGGACATTCCATTTCTAAGCCAGATGTTATTGATTTATTGGAACAAGGAAAAGAACCCTGGACAGGTAAGGAAAACAGAGAGAGAGAAATCAGAGTTGTAACAGCCTGCTTGATAAGGAAGAGGAGACACTTGTTTGTACTATTATTCATCGAGCCCTCTTCCAAGGTACCAAGACTTGTGGACCTCAAGCCTGTGACCTCAGGAGAAAATGAAAGATCTCAACAGGTGCTATGGAAGGAGCTTCATCTTTACCCTATTTACCAATCACCCTACTTCTCATATTTCACACCCATTTTCAGTGATGGGGCTTTCTTTTTAATTTGCACTATTTTAACTGTATTCTGGGTTCACTGGCTTTTCAGCTCCCCTTTTACACACACATAAACACACGGATACAGTGTAGATGCAGTAAATAAAACTTACAAGATACTGGCTTGTATGGAATGTACATTATACTAGAATGAGTGGATATGAAAATAAATAAGTAAACAATATTAGTGGATTGAGCTAGGTTGGAAAGTAAGCAGAAGTTGGGCCATTTTATTTATTTATACATTTACTTATTTTGTAGTACTGGGAACAGAACCAGGTCTTTGTCCCTGAGCTCCATCCACAGCCCTTTTAAAATTCTTTATTTTGAGACAGGGTCTCACTAAGTCACTGAGTTGCCCAAACTGGACTGGAATTTGCGATACTCCTGCTTCAGCCTCCCAGAGTGCTGGGATTACAGGTCTGGGCCATCATGCCCAGTTAGGTCATGCCGTTTTAAGCATGAAGGCTTGGGATGACTTCTCTGGAGTGGTAATATTTGAAAAGGGATATGATTTTTGGACACAGGCCTTGTTTTTATGTGGGAAGAATATTCCAAGCTGAATAAAGACTTTAAATAAAGATTGCTGGGGTAGGCCGGGCGTGGTGGCGCACGCCTGTAATCCTAGCACTTGGGAGGCAGAGGCAGGAAGATTGCTGTGAGTTTGAGACCAGCCTAGGCTACATAGTGAGTTCCAGGTCAGTCTCAACTACGTAGTGAGACCCTGCCTCAAAAAAAAAAAAAAGATTGCTGGGATAATCAGGAAAAAGAATGTGAAGAGTACAGCAAGAGAGATGGGGAGAGTTATGTGAGTTTAGAGAGCACCAAATAGACCATAGTAGAATCCCTGAAAGGAAACCGATAAAAAAATGAATTTATGAGCCTGGGATTTAGCTCAGCGGTTCCAGCCCCAGTACGAAAAAAAAAAAAAAGAGTTTAGAGATGACTGTTGTGGCACATTCATATAATCTTATCACTGGGAGAAAGATGCAGGAGGATTGCAAGTTTCAGCCCAACCTAGGCAACTTATGGAGGCCTTGTCACAAAATAAAAATATAAAATGGGCTAGGGTTGTACTCAATTCAAAGGCCTCAGGTTCAATCCCCAGTACAAAAAAAAAAAAAAAATTAGGGCTGGTGATATAGCTCTGTCAGTACTAGAGTGCTTTCCTGTCAAGTCCCTGGATTCAATCTCCTGTACCACCAAAAGAGAAATAATAGAATTTTTACTGTTAGGAGTCAACTCACATGAAGTGTTGAATTTGAATTACTAGTGATGAATGAAAGAATGCTTACATTTTTTAACCCCTTTAATAAAATTTGAGAGTTATAGAAAGGTTATAATAATGATATACCAGATTCTTTTATACCATTCAAGCACTAGTTTTAAACAAAAGCTTTAGAGTCAAATCTGAAGACTTTCCTATTTCTCTATCCAGTCACCTTCTTATCCCTTGTGCTGAGTATAACTGCTGTTGTGATTTCTCTTTCTCTTTGTTTTTCTCTTTCTTTTCCTCTCTTTCTCTCCGGTCCCTTCCCCCTCTCCCTCTTTCTGTGACACTGTGGTTTGAACTCAGTTGGCTTTGCACATGCCAGGCAAGCTCTGTAGCACTGACTGTTTGTCTGTTTGTTTGAGACGGGATCTCAATATGTAGTTCTGGCTGGCCTTAAACTCACTATGTAGCCCAAACTGGCTTTGGACTTACAGTGATCCTCCTGCTTTAGCCTCCCAAGTGCTGAGATTATAGGTAGGGTTCACCAGGCCCAGTTTAGGTCTTAGAGTCTTTATGGTTAGATAAAACCCCCGAAGTAGGAAGAAAATGACACCACACAGGAACAGCTCAGCCTGAACAACTTAGTGGTCCCAGCTAATGTGTCTGATGTGGTTTCTTTGCCCCTTTATGTTCTTTGAATATGGTTATGGTGTTTGTAGGATTGGAGGCAATGAACTGCAGATAACTGGTGCTAGATAAAAGAGCCTCATTTTTTATTACGGCAGTTTGCTATTATTGTAACGTGGCGATTGGGTTGAACACAGTTACAATGAAAATAAGTAGTAATGTACTACTTCCTGGAATGTGCATTCCGATGATTAGATACTGATGTCAGTGTCTTGGATATTCTTAAATGAGCAGTGTTTGGTACTGCTTTTCTTTGCAGTGGTACAGTGTTTTGGTTGTGGTCCGAAACTTTGAAGCATCTTCTTCAGTGAAGCTCTCACCATTCAAACATGACAGATTTGATAAAATACTCAATTATTTCTGTATGAATCCTTTTTTCCCCCGATATTGTTTTGGCTGTTTTTTGGCTCAGACTTTTAAGAAATGGTTTTAGCTGTTGTTCGTGAAGAGAGTAAGTTCTTATAAACTATGCTGCTAATGTAAGGAAATCTTATCTAAGAAAGTGCATTTCCTTACAGAGCTGTGTTACACCATCCTTTGGACTTTCTGCTGGAAAAGTAGAATCAAATCTGAAATAATGCATTTTTAATATATCTCTTAGTATTATAGATGTAGGACAATACTGTATCATATCTATGTAACTATAAAATGTTATATTTGCTTTATGATGCATAGTAGTGACTGTGCTGTCAGAGTTTTTTTTGTTTGGGTTTTTTTTCTTTTTTCTTTTCTTTTTTTCTTTTTTTTTTTTTTTTTTCTTTTCTTTTTTTCTTTTTTTTTTTTTTTTTTGATACCAAAGATCAAGCTCAGAACTTTGCGCTTGTGAGGCAGGTGGCAGCACCACTGAGTTAAATCCCTAGCCCTTTCAGAGCTGTTTTTCATGAAGTTACTCTAGAACATTTTCTTTCCAGATGATGATTCAGAAGTTAATAAAAACAAAAACAGTGCGAAGTACCACAATAGTAACAGAATTTTGCTGTTTTCTAATTTATTTAATTGGGTTTTAATCTTTTTTTTTAATGGAGTATGCTAGATATCTTTTAAATTTTGTTGAGATGACTGCAGAAACTGGAAAAGCTGTTGCTGCTATTGATGAAGAACATACTATTATTGAGATATACATAGAGTCTGCTAAAAAAGTGTATACACACCTCAGCAGTTCACCGTACTAAGAAATATCTAGAAGATCATGGTCACCACTTTGAGTCCCTCTTATAATTGTAGAGGCCAGAGGTAACTTGTATTAATCTCATGATGTCTTAGGGATCAAATCATTAGGGAAAATAGTAAGTGACAGAAAAAGTTATATTCTAGTTAGAAAATATAATAGAGGATAACAAAAGTGTTACTGCTTTGACTTGAGGCTTCATACGTAAGCAAGAGTCTTGCTGTTCTTGAAAAGGGGCTTGAATTTTCTTCTAAGAATAAAAATAAATTACTACAAAAATTTTATTTATTTATTTATTTATTGGTATCAGGGATCAAACTTGGGACCTTGTGCTTACCAGGCAGGTAGCAGAACCACTGAGCTAAATCCCTGGCTCTAAGGGACATATTCTTTTTTTTTGGTTTTTTGAGACAGAGTCTTACTATGTAGTTGAGACTGACCTGGAACTCACTATGTAGCCCAGGCTGGTCTCGAACTCACAGCAATCCTCCTGCCTCAGCCTCCCAAGTGCTGGGATTATAGGTGCGCGCCACCACGCCCGGCTAAGGGACATATTCTTAAACATCAGTCTGCATCTACATTAGTGATAAATTCAAAATAATGATGCCAGTGGTTTTTCTCTTTAATTCTAATTCATCTGGCCTCTAACAATGTCAAGGCATCAGATTTATAATAAACTTGTTAAAGATCTTCACCCATACACTAATATTACCTATGTCATTATTCAGTAACCTCCTGTGTTGTATAAATTCTCACGCACCTCTGAATTCTTGGCCATTTTAAAATTCTATAACTGTACTTTAGAATTCCATAAGCCATTCTGAGTGTTGCTTCTTATTTTTATGTTTCATGTTGTCTGATATAGAAATAGAAACTTTTTTTGTTGTTTCAGATTTGGATTTACAGTATAAGATAATCAGCTATCTAAAAATGCCCGCTTATGAACAGGATAAGTCTTCCACGCAACACCAGAACGTATATACCAGAGAGAAACTGTATAAATGTACAAGATGTCAGAAAAAATTTAGTAGTGGCCATCAACTTATTCTGCATCACAGATTTCATATCGAGAGACCCTATGAGTGCAAAGAGTGCGGGAAGAACTGTCGCAGTGGCTATCAACTGACACTGCATAAGAGAGTTCATGCTGGTGAGAAGCCCTATGAATGTACAGAATGTGGGAAGACCTTTAAAAGTGGCTATCAACTTACTGTACATCAGAGATCTCATACTGGTGAGAAAACCTATGAATGTCAAGAATGTGGCAAGGCCTTTATTTATTCCTCACATATCATTCAACATGAGCGAATTCACACTGGTGCGAAGCCTTATGAATGTCAGGGATGTGGGAAAGCCTTTAGTCAAGTCGGCCACCTTAGAAATCACCAGAGAATTCATACTTGTGAAAAACCCTATAAATGTAAGGAGTGTGGGAAGGCTTTTAGTAGGTGCTCCAATCTTGTTGAACATAGGCAAATTCATATTAATGAGAAACCATATGTGTGTGAGAAATGTGGGAAGGCTTTTAGAAGAGATCATCAGCTTATTGTACATCAGAGTATTCACACTGGCAAAAAACCATATGAATGTAAAGAATGTGGGAAAGGCTACAACACTGCCTCATACCTTATTCTACATCAGGAAATTCATAAAGGCGGGAAACCATATGAATGCAAGGAGTGTAAAAAAACTTTCATTTTATATAAGAATCTTGTTCGACATCAGAGTCTTCATACTGGTGACAAACTTGAATGTAGGCAGTGTGGAAAGATCTGTACAACTGGCTCAAAACTTTTTCAACATCAGAAAACTCATACTGATGAGAAACCCTATGAATGTAAGGAATGTGGGAAGGCCTTTAGCTTGCATGCATACCTCAGACAACATCAGAAAATTCATCTTGGTTTGAAATGCTTTGAATGTGACAGATGTAAAAAAACCTTTAGTTCATACAGGAATCTTACCCGTCATCAAAATATTCATACTGGTATGAAACTTTTTGAATGTCAGGAATGTGGAAGGACCTATACTACTCGCTCAAACCTTGTTCAGCATCAGAAAACTCATACTGGTGAGAAACCCTATAAATGTAAGGAATGTGGGAAGGCCTTTAGCTTGCATGGTTACCTCAGTCAACACCAGAAAATCCATCTTGGTATGAAACGCTTTGAATGTAAGGACTGTAAGAAATCCTTTACTTTGTATAGGAATCTTACCCGTCATCAGAATATTCATACTGGTAAGAAACTTTTTATATGTCAGGAATGTGGAAGGGCATATACTACTCGCTCAAACCTTGTTCAACATCAGAAAACTCATACTGGGGAGAAACCCTACGAATGTAAGGAATGTGGGAAGGCCTTTAGTTTGCATGGCTATCTTAATCAGCACCAGAGAATCCATACTGGTGTGAAACCCTATGAATGTAAGATATGCAGGAAGACCTTTACTTTCTGTAGAAATCTTACTCTACATCAGAGTATTCATACTGATGCGAAACCTTTTGAATGTAAAGAATGTGGGAAGACCTTTAGACGTAGTTCACACCTCATGGCACATCAGAATATTCATGCTGATAAGAAACCCTATGAATGTAAAGAATGTGGCAAGGCCTTTAAAATGTGTGGATACCTGACACAACATCAGAAAATTCATACTGGTAGAAAACCTCATGAATGTAAGGAATGTGGGAAGGCCTTTATTCGCTCTTCAAACCTTGTTCAACATGAAAGAATTCATACTGGTGAGAAACCCTATGCTTGTGAGCAATGTGGGAAAACCTTTAGATATGGTTCAGCCCTTAAAGCACATCAGGGAATTCATACAGATTTGCAAATCTAAGAATAGAAGGATTGTAACAGTATCTTTGGAGATGGCCCGAAATTTTTCAACATCTTAACAGTTCTTTGTTTTGTTTTTGGTACTGGGGATTGACAGTTCATTTTGATGAGAAATGATTGAATATTCGTCTGATAGGTGTAGCTTTAGCAAGTGAGCAACTTTATAGTGCAACACTTGCTGCATTAGAAAGCATTCAGACTTGGTGGTGCATGCCTATAATCCCAGCATTCTAGGAGGCCAAGGCAGGAAGATCCTACGTTTAGGCCCATCCTGGACAATTTAGGAACCCAGTCTCTCTCTCTCTCTCTCTCTCTCTCTCTCTCTCTCTCTCTAAAACCTCTCCCTTCCTCCCTCTCCCTCTCCCTTACTCCTCCCCCCCTTTTTTTCTTCTTTTTATTGAGTTTATTGGTATAATCTAGGTATACAATACAGTTACATTCATTACTGGGATCCTGTATCTTCACATGACACGTTTTGGTTCTCATTTTTCCCCTTGTCCCTGCCCTCCCTTCACCCCCTCCTCCCCTCCCCATTTACAAACACTTTATTTCCATTTTCTCATATTTTTTCTTTTCCCTTATTCCCTTCCCCGTACCCTTCCCACTTTCCCTACACCTTTAGCCCTTTTCTTCCTATTTCGCACTATTAATTATCCCATTAGGATCTTGTGTACTATTACAGTTTTTCACACCAGAGAGACTATTCAGTATTTATACATGTGTGACTTACTTAATTCACTTAAGAGTATGTCCTCAATATGTATCCATTTTCCTATGAATGACTCTAATTTCTCATTCTTTATGGCTGAGTAGTATTCCATTTTATAGAAAAACCACATCTTCTTTATCCATTTTCCAACAGATGGGCAAATGGGCTATATCCAAGTTTTAGCTATTACAAACTGTGCCACTATAAACATTGGTGCACATATACCACTGTGATATGTTTCTTTTAATTCCTTTGGAAAGATATCTAGCAGAGGGATGGCTGGGTCAAATGGAACCTCTAGTCCCAGCTCTTTGAGGTATCTCCATATTGATTTACACAGTGGTAGCACCAGTCTGCACTCCCACCAACAATGGAGAAGGGTTTCTTTCTCCCCACAACCCCGCCAACATTTGTTATTGTTTGATTCTTGATAGCAGCCATTCTTTGTGGGGTGAGGTGGAATCTCAGTGTTATTTTCATCTGCATCTCTCAAATGAGCAGTAATGTGGAACATTTTTTCATATATTTACTTGCTGCTTTTACTTCTTTGTCTGACAAATGTCTGTTCATTTCAGATGCCCATTTTTTAATTGGGTCTTTATATTTGGGGGGCTGATTATTTTGAGTTCTTTATATATTCTAGATAATAGTCCTTTGTCTGAGGAGCAGCTGATAAAAATTTTTTCCCACATTGTAGGTTGTCTCTTAGTTGTGTTGATGGTTTCTTTTGCAGTGCAGAAGCTTTTTAATAAGATGAGATCCCAGTTGTTGATTCTTTCTGCTAGTTCCCGTGCTACTGAGGATTTGTTCATAAAGTCTTTTCCTATGCCAATGTTCCCCCCCCTTTTTTTAAGATGGCCTCACTGTGTAGCCTCAGACTCACAGTAATCCTCCTGCCTCAGTCTCCCAAGTACTGGGATTATAGGTATTGTGCCGCCATGCCCAGCAAGACCCAGTCTCAAAATAGAAAATGGGCTGGGAATACAGTTCATTGAAAAGGCTCTGGGTTCAATCCCCAATATTGAGAAGAAAGAAGAGTGATTCAGTGTCAGTCTTCTTTTAATATCTGACTATTCATTGACAAATTAAGAAAAAATAGGAATCCCACTTTCTTCTTGCTTTTGTTTACAACACCCATGACATGGAATTTTTTCTAAATGTATTAAACAGATGACTAAAAGCCTTCCATACTAGACATCAATGGCAGTATTACCAATTATCCTAACTCTTAATGTTTTACCACAACAATAAATATCTCTCACAGATTCTATGAGCCAAAAATTCAGGACCATTGACTTTTCCATGAGATTATGGTCAGGCAGAGGCTTGACTGGGAATGGAGAATCTGTTCCAGCAGGCTCAGTCTCACTGGTTACTAGCTTAGTATATTATGGATTGTATATCATTTAAGTACCCCCCACTTCAAGTATTCACGTCTTAGCAGTTTGGTCCCCAGTTTGATGGCATAGAGGCTGTATAGAGCTTTGAAGAGGTGGAGCCCGTGCTGAGGTTCTCAGGCCAGCTGAGGCTGTGCCCTCAGAAAGGAGTGTAAAACCCCAGCGATTGAGGAAGCTCAGTCACTTTCTGGTTTTTCAGACATGGTCTCTTCCTCCCACACACACTCCCACACCTGGAATGACATTGGCCATGAAGTCCTCACCTGAGCTGTACATTGGCCAGTAGTGTGCCTTAAATCTCCAAAATCGTGAGCTCAATAAACTTATTTATAAAGCTAGGCTGCCTCAAGTATTTCATTACAGTAACAAAAAACAGACCAATACACTTAAGAGTGTCAGCAGAAAGCCATTATCACCCACAGCAGACTTAGATGAGATTCTAGACTGAAGATTGGCCCTAAAAAACGATGAGACTTTGGGGGATTCTTGAGCATATTTTGCATGTGGTAGGAATAGAATTGTACTCAGACTGTTAGTGGTGATGTTTTTAAACTATATCTACAAATTCTTCATCTTTCAAAATTGAAGCTTGATTTCCATCCTTTTGAATATGAACTGAAGCCAGTCACTTGCTTCTATGAACAGAATGAATATTCAGGTAACTTTCTCACTGAATTTCTCTGTGATCCACTCACCGAATGATGTCCCATTTTGATCTCACTGAGATCTTAAAGGGTTTCCAATAGTCATTTTGTGTGCTCTATGGGGAATCGATCACTTGCTGTAGGAACATAATTGAGGTCCACCTCCTGCCAGTTTTTTAAGCCCCACAGAAGTAGGTTAACTCTTTTGAGATCCAAACTCAAACTGGACAGCTTTGAATCAACACACAATCAACAAGGCTTAAATCATGTTCTGACTACACTGCATTTTAATGATTTTTCTTCACAGTCTCCTATCACACACACCCATATTTCAGAGCTGTCAGCCTTGGATCATTACCTGGGAACTTTGATTACCTTCCATGGCTGTTTTTCCTTCCTAATTAGTTTCCCCAGTATCCTTTATGCGTCTGATTCTGTGTCTTCCTTGATGTCCTGAATTGATTCAACAGGTTTATGGCTCTATCTGTCAAAAACATTATGATGTGTGCTCATCCACATTATTCACCGGATTGGGCAATGTGCCTCCTCTGGCTCTTATCCAAAGTCAAAATGACCATGACCATGAAAGGTAGTGTGTGTGTGTGTGTGTGTGTGTGTGTGTACCAGGGATCAAACTCAGGACCTTGTGCTTGTGAGCCAGGCACATTGTCACTGAACTAAATCCTTGGCCCTGAAGGGTGGTTTTTAACCAATTTAGGATCCATGGTAGTGCAGCTTAAGTTCATGAGAAAGAACTTGGAAGAAATGCTTCAGAAAGTGGCAAGAATGATCTGAAATGTATTTTGAAGTAGGGGGGAGTATTTTGAGGAGAATTAATGGCAATGTGCCTTTAATGAAATTTTAAAAGTTTAAACATTGACTGTATATTTTAATCACACTGCATAATTGTCAGCTGGCCATGGTAACCCTAACCTGTATTCCCAGCACTGAGAGATACTGGGGCAAGACATCCCAATTTCAAGTCCCATTTGGGAAGTTTGGCAAGGCCCTGTGTCAAATTTTTAAAAATAAAAAGGGTTGGATTGACACTTTATGTAAAGCCCATAGAGTTAATCCTTAGTACCACATATAAAAAATAGTTATTACTTATGGGCATCATTTTATCAATTGTAAAACAATAATCAAGAACCTACATGAAGTAAAGCATGGTGGTGCACACCTGTAATGCCAGCACTTAGGAGACTGAGGCAGGAGGATGGCTGCAAGTTCAAGGCCAGCCTGAATTACATGGTGAGACCCTGTCTCACAAAAACAAAAAGAAGGTCCAGGGATTTAGCTTAGTGATACTGCCTTCTACCTTGCAAGCACAAGGTCTTGAGTTCTATCCCTGGTACAAAGACAAAAACAAAAACAACAAAAAGAACCTACATGACAGTGCCTTTATGGAGATTAAAGTAGTATACATATCTTGAAGATTATTTAGCATATAGAGCTCAAATCATTATTTGTATTGCTAATACAAATTATTGTAAGGTTCTGAAAGGTTCTAGTGTAATTTAGAATAGATTCTTAGAGCCATTCATCTTAACTTTTACATAATTTTGGAAATAAAAGTATATTTAGTACATCCAATCATTTAAATAGCCAATATTTCACATTTGTTAGGAGATCGCACATGTCAAAATATAATCCCCCCTCCCCGCCATTTTATATCTTACTTCCGGGTTCTTCCCCGACTGAGTCCTTTCTCCCGATGAAATTATAAAGCGCGAAACTAGAGCTTCTGCAAGGCGTGAAATTCAAAAGGCAACCTGGCTTGCGTTAGGATAACAAAGATGGCTTCTCCCAAGGAAGGATCTTCCGTTGCCTGCCCTATAAATAGCCCAGCATTTCCTCTTATCTCTCTCTCTCACTCCCTGCCTTCCTGCCTCCCGCTCACCTCCCTACAATAAAGATCTCCTGCCGGACCTCTCGGTGCGTGAGTGACATAATTAGGCAAGGGGCACCCAAAGGGGGCTCGAGACCCCTTTCATTGGTGTCAGAAGTGGGATCTGGTATTGCCAGGCCCACAGGCTAAAACGCCTGAGTCCTGAAACCCAGATTCTAGGGCGCCCCTGCTCAGCCCCCGCCTGACGTCCGTGACCATTCTCCTCATCGCCATCTTGCAGCCATCACCGACCTACTGATCTTCTGACCTACACTTTTTTGGGTAAGTTCCCCTTTCTGAGAAGTCCTCAGGGTAACAGGGACCCCAGACT